CCCCCACAAAAAACTTCCTCAAAATTGTGTTAATTAAACAATGACAGTTCATCGTTCACAGAATCCTTTTATACGCTATTGCATCGTACTAAAATTCGACCAATTATGTAGATTTATTGCATTTCAGCTAGACTGAATATTCAAATTGCCTTTACGATTAAAGCATTTTGAAATGTGAATATTCAAAAATCTCCTGACGTGCAGTAACTTTCATATGGTTTCCGTTTGTCTGGTCTTTAATTTAGAAACGCATCCGATGATATTATTCAAAAATCGCTTGGTAACTCTAGTGAGAATTCAAAATTTGACTCAAATTATAATCAAAAATTAGAATAATTCGGTGGCGGAATTTGTATATTATTATAGCATAAAAGGAATGGCAAATGGACAGCATGCATATTGTTCACTAGGACGTTGTGCGTTACGCACACTGAGTTGATTTTAGGTTGGGGTTTTTCAGCGCAACGACTGTCAAAGTAAGACAAACGTGAGGAGAGGAAGAAGTGGTGAAAATGAGCGAATTTATCTTACAGCTCGAACCGGCTGAGAAAATCGTCTTCTCGGGTAAGCTCGGCGAGGAAGCTGTCCCAACAGCGCTTAAAATCACCAATACCACAAAGGTAACAATGGATTGATCCCGTCGCCTATGATTATAGAGATTTATTTCAAGGTTCGTATCAAAACTGCTTTCGTAATATTCAAAAATTTTCAGGATCGACAAGTATGCAAAGTAAAATGCACCTCGAACGAAATGTTCCGAATTAGACCTCCTGTTTTCGCCTTAAAAGCTGGCGAAGAAGGCACTGTTAAGGTTTTCGTTACACTTCATCCTCTGAGAGTCTTTGCCAGGTTTTCCCATGTCAGCTGATTGGGAACATTACTTGGATTGCTTCAAAGAGCTCTCAGAAACCTGCTAAATGTAAGGCTGGTCACAGTATCACTGGCGCAGTACGTGACGGTGTGAATTGGAGAATGAGAGGCATCGAAAAGAGCTGGTGAAAGGAGAGGAAGAGTCATGAGAGCGATGATCAGTACTGCTGATCAATAAAATCATATCACAGTATCACTCAGAGTTGATTTCTGATACCTTCAGCAAACAGATAGGTGTTAGAAGGCGAGGAATTCCAAGCGTACAGTACTAGAAACGTAGAATGTGATAAATGAATGACTTCAGTTGACTTTCAATGCCGGTAAGACGGTGCCTGAAAATGGAAAGCATTATTTTGTGGTGTATTATATCAAATCGGATGATGAATCGAAAGCACCCAGAGCTTGTTGGGCAGATCATAAAGAAGGTCCGGATGGAACGAAACGGTTTGTTCATCACTCAAACATTTCTTGAGAGTTTAGTGGAATTCTGAAGGGTTCCATGATGAAATGAGTAATGGAACTCATCATGTCATGAATGTTATCCTGTTCTTGAGTCTACTTCCGATTTTGTCCATCTAATCTAGTTTTGTTCGACGCAGTATTTACAGTGGTATGACCCATAATAGATTATCAACTTGCTTGTGAATTACAGTAATGGCTTGTTTTGTAGGCTTTACGTTGATTTCAAAGACGAAGGAGAAGGTGGTGAAGGAGGTGAGAAAAAGGAAGGGGAAGGAGAAGGGGAGAAGAAGGAGGGAGAAGGAGAGAAGAAGGAAGGAGAAGGGGAGAAGAAGGAGGGAGAAGGAGAGAAGAAGGAAGGAGAAGGGGAGAAGAAGGAAGGAGAAGGAGAGAAGAAGGAAGGGGAGGGTGAAAAGAAGGAGGGTGAAGAAGAGAAGAAGGAGGGCGAAGGAGAAAAGAAGGAAGAAGAGAAAAAAGAGGAGGAAAAGGTGAGGTTTACGGTAATCGTGAGCTGGCCATGCAATGTTTTCTTCAGTGAACCTTCACTGTCCACATCAGTTTTATAACAACATACGGTAACTCTGAGCATGTATAATCTGAGTAGGTGTTACTGCATTCAGACGATAGAAAGGTCCTCCATTTCAGATATGTAATCATGAGGTAATCTGAGGTATGGCCGATGAGATTGAGCGTTACTTTGAGTATTAATCGTAAGTATTAGGTATATTGAGTATTAAGTAATCTGCATTGAGTGTCACTTTCATGCAGCACGCAACCAGTTTCAAACATGATCTTTCAGAAAGAAGACGGTCAAAAGGCCGATGAGAAAAAGGAGGGCGAAGGCGAAAAGAAAGACTGAATTCATATTAAAATATATCTCAAGATGTGATATCTTCTTACGTGGCGTTGAAACGTTTCGTTTCGTTTCGATTATTTTCGTTTATCAATAATTCGTACAAATCATTCCTTATGTCCTGAATTTCCAATAAATTCTTAAAATAGGCTTGTTCTGTCGACTAGTTCCTCTCAAACGTCTCATCATGGCTCACATGTAACAGAATAAAGATTTTTCAATTCGTCCCAGCAATCTATTGCTCACTTCCCGAGTTCAACAATTCAAAATCCGCATCTTTCCATCAAATGCCCATTGAATGCATCCCTGATTATAATATGAATAAAATTGAAACATAACAAGCAATTAACAATAAGTAAATTTCTATGATGTTGCTATTTATTAAATTTGCAAGCAAGCAAATCTTGTTACTAGATTGATAAGCAAGAAATCAATGAATTTCATGTTTTATCACCCGTCTCAAAAGGTGGTCTGTTGTTGGTTTTATAGAAATTTCACCTTTTAACTGAGAAATTTTCAGTTCTGCTTGCTTTCATTTCTTACTATCATCGTAATGCACATGATGCTGTTTTATGACCAACTCAAATCGGAGTAGCTTCATAGTATATGCTGGTCCATGAAAATGGATAATGAAGCAATTGACCAAGTATAATCAAACAGATATCAATTACATCACAAAAGGACATGTCCATACATGCTATTCTCCTAATAGTGGATCTTCTGAATCCAGTTTTGTAATGTAAATGACCGAGTAAAATTCAACAAACAAGTAGACTGAAAGTGGCACTTCATGTAATTCTGCAGTAGTGCACTGAATGATCAACATGAAGAGCAAATGCACAGCGCTTGGCGGTGCAGTGAATTAGCTCAGCTAACATGACATTCATCTCCAAGATATCAATTACATCATAAAAGGACATAGATTCTATCTATCCATGTCCCTCTCATTACCAATAGTGAGGATAGTGATCCTAATGCATAACATTGCAGTCCAGAAGATATTGTGGCTACGCGTTCTTCTGTCATCAAGGCGAACAATTTCTTTGAATAATGTCAGCAGTTGAGATTCATTCATCAAATATCAAAGAAACGATAGACAACGATATGATTCAGTCAAGTGATACCAGGAGCTCCTTATTGCCCAGCCTCAATCCTCAACTACTTGATTTTCTTTACGATGTACAGAACGACAAGTTGAACGATGACCTACGGCGACTTGAAATTGAATTTGGAATCAATCGGGAACAGGTTGGGATCAAAACGTTGAGAAAATTGTTCAATGGAAACTGAAATTGCTCCTTTGAGTTTATCGTTTTCCGTTTTGACACACATTAAGAGCTGATTATGCATCGCTTTGCTGACAAATCAAACCCCAAAACTGATTGAAGAATCGCAGATAATTCAAAGAAGCTCGAAAACTTCTATCATTTCTCCCTCAGGAATTCAACATCGTGCGGTGATTCTGACTGAGGTCTTACAACTCCGTAACTAGATTAGGTTGCTTTCCAGGTAGCCTATGTTGCAATCGGATTCATAGCTGTGTATCTGATGATTGGAAAAGATGCTGGGCTTTTGTGCAATTTGATTGGTTTCGTCTATCCTGCAATCGCCTCAATTATAGTTNAATTTTCCGCTGTTTCAAAAAACGGGAATGCACCTGAAAGATTTTCATTTCACTGGATCTTGATAAATCTGGATATCGTGATCAATTGAATGAGTTCAAGGCGATGGAAATGGATATAAGATACGACATATTTTTGTGGCTGTTGTATTGGATGTGCTACGGTCTATATGCGATTCTTGATCTGTACGCTGAAACAATTATGGATGTACTACCGATTTATTGGCTTTCCAAGGTCTGTGATCGCTGAAGCTAGTTGGTAAAACGGGTGAATGCTGGTGTTTGCGACTATTCAAGAAGTTGAGAAATAAGAAATGGGAGTGATACGCAAGAGAGTTCTGCTAATAGAAAAACGTTCTCTCTGTGAATTTTTCCATATCATTGAGTCGAAATTGGACATGAATTTCACTGTTTATCATTTCACTGAAAATGCAATCGAATTGTTTCGCATCTTTCGTCAGCTTATTTCTCTGAATTATCTACCACTCCTGAGGCAGATTTTTGAAAAACATTGATCAGGAACTTAAGAATTTCTAATTTGGTGATCAATTACATTTCAGACACTTGTTCTGCTCTATCTTATGCTGCCACAAACGAAAGCGCTACACAAAATCTACGTAAACGCAGTCATTCCAGCAGTTGCTAAAGCTGAAGAATTCATTCTGAACTACTAAAACTAAAAAACCACCAAAAAGTGTTTGGACCATCCGAATAGAACTTAATCAATCGATCCTTTTCCCGGAAAAAAGCAATTACCACCTCATTATTCGACATTTTTTATAATCCACAACTGTTTGCAACCGATTTGTCCATCGATTTATTCATCTGTTTCAGTGCGATATTCACAATTAACTTGTACATGTTATGCTATTTTATGATATTAAAATGCTACGTTCACTATAATCTGTGATGCGCTTGAGTCCGTCTTATTTGGATTTTTATTTGTTCTTTCAACGATAAATCAGTTGATTGAATCAATACATTGAAGATTAACCTTTCTTTAATGCATAGCTATAACATGCACGTTGCTTACGTTAAGTGATCAATTAGGAAGTAGTTAATGTGAGGAAAAAATGATCACGTGAAATCGACTCATCCACTCATCTCACTATCAGCAGACTCTCAAGCGTTAATGTGTCACTCAGAAGTTAACGTCTCAATTCTAAGATCTTGTCATGTCTATTGAACTTTCTGCAGGACAGTTACTTATCAATAAAGACTAAATCGGAAAGGAGAAAGGATAACAGTTCCCACTAGTTTATATATTGCGATCTTCTCGTATTTTTCAGTTTTTTAAGAATCATTGAGATAATGAGTAGATCGGAGCATAGACGACAAAACATCCTTCAGATCAAATTTTATTGGATATTCATGAACAAAGATGAGTAACCTCAAGAAATATTACTAGTTTTACGCAAGAGTAATGTTCCTATTAGCAGCACTTAGAAGTTAGCGTGTCACTTTGTTGCGTGTTTTGAAAATGCGAAATCACTGACATGAACTTGTGATTAAACTCATAAAATCACGAAAATTGTCGAAAAATAATCAAAGAACACGCATAATTCAGCGTGAATATCGTCTATGCAATAGCAGTAATTGTTCATTCTGCATGATATCATATGTTCACTATGATATCATATGTTTCGATTTGAATTGTGTTCGTAATCATATTGTGTTTGATTCAAATGAACATGTAAATAATTCCAATTGCATATCTCGTGATCCATTTGTTTTGTTTTCAGATTTTCAGCGCAGTATGATTGCAAGCACCAATAAGCATGAAATGAAATGAAATCAATTATTGAACGCATGAATCGATCAATAACCATAATAATTATAAAGCAGACCAAGCGTTGTTCGAACGGCCGAGTGCGATTTTGCTTCACCAACAATATTCACAATAACGGTTCGTTGCTAGGTTCAATTCACTCGTAAAATATGATTGATATGCGCTATTATTTACCTTACAAACTGATCATTTGTAGTAGAAGCAGTATTGTTCGTCCTATGCTTTTTAGTTTCAGTGAGAAAATCTAAATTTTTAATGAGTGAGAGAATCGTATCATATTTTGTTTAACTTCATCGTTTCTATTGAGTTCCATGTTGTATCGAGCGGAATAGCTCTGCTGCTGCGCTCAGTTTGATGTTAGAGCATAATGAAATCTATGGCTTATCGCATCATTAAAACAAGTGAAGGAATCTCTTGGAGCAGCGTAAACTTTGAATGCCTAATAATAAGGAAGTGAAAGGTTCCGTACAGTATCGATGGTCACGTTGATGCCGTGCAAATTATTGTATATATTATGTATTATAATGATATTTTCTTCACATAGCGCATTTGAGATTTTGCATACAAGCATTATATAAATTTTATTCAGCTCCTCACTTTTCATTCGCATTATGAATTGAACGCTTGTTCAGATAGAATACTTTAGACTGAACGATAACACTTATGATCAAATTCTTTTCGAGCAATCATGAGCGCTCCCTAGAAATCGCCTGATCATTAACTGATCGAAGTGTGCTTAGCCGCAATGTTTGCTTTTACTTTTGCTTGCTTATGGTTGGTAATATATTGTGAATAATTCTGCTTTTATTCATATTCGTATTTCCGAACAGAGAATCTGTGCAATGAATGAATATTTTGATAAGATAGGTAAGATGCAAAATACTGTACGATGATACCAGTAACATGAGTAGAACTGATAAGCAGCATACTTACTTTAGGCGAAGCAATGTAATGTTATGGGAGGACAAATTTCTAAGACACGATTACAGTTTTATGTGATAGTTCGTTGCTATGGGCTGATGGTAATAATCGCTCAGTTCGATTACTTAGCACCTCATTTTCATTTTAATTTATTTGATTATCGCAATGAGTTGCTGTCCTTTAGATATGATTTGTTTGAAAGAAAGTCTGAGGTTCTCGAATTATTGACGGCATTTAAGTGACGAAGTCATTTAGAAGGTTGTAGAGCAATTTGTGACTGTAATATGGATGAAATTGTTCGTCACTGAGGATTTTTTGTCCTAATGGGAAGCAAAAAACAGTGATTGAATTGAGGAAACTTCTTCGTAGTAGTTGCTCCACAGATACTAAGTTTCCTGAAATCCGTTCAATTTTAATCGTTTTCACTATCGACTCTGGCATTATGGTCTACAAATTCTGCTTAATAGTTTTGACAACGGATGGAATCTACCGTGTTGCAGATCTCATCTACGATTGAAGAAAATTTTAAGGAATGAGTTAAAATCTTTAAGCCTTTCCGAATAGCCCACGCGATTTGCGTGTTGAACGCCTTGAAGTAAGAATCATCGCATTTCTTAAAGTACGCAGATATAAGATAGTTTTTGTTTGTCCGATAGTGATTGATAACCGGCAAAAAGCTTTCAATGATTGATTCGGTTTGGAGTATTTGTCCTTTCTTATCTCTATGTAATGCATATCAGGTGAGGCGTAGCAATGGGTTTTATGGTTGTGATAAAAACATCACAGCAGCAGCAGCAGTTTATGTAGTCGTCATCGAGTGAAGATAACCGTGTTTATGTGCTCGGATACGAACTGTCGTTTGGAATTTACTCACTTCTTAATTGACTTTTCAGACTCAGATGTCAATTTTGTTATGCTATTTCTGTCAAACTCCGTGATAGGTGTTCTTTTCAGAACGTGACAACTAAAATCTCTGTGAATTAATCCAGGAAATAGGACACTTCCCGATTCCGTTGGTATTTTAGATTATTGAGACCGATCAAAACAGTGAGCCGAAGCCGTCGTGAGTCGTTAAATATAGGTATGATTCAAAATTTCTTGTCATCATCATGGCTATTATAGTTGTTAAATTTGCTAT